AGGCTTCATTAATATTGTATGACTCTTGTTATTGATTGGAAGATTTCTCAATTCTAATCAGTCTGCAGAAAGTTATTTTTAAATACTATGTTAGCTTGAAAGGAACTATGAGGATATAAAGGCAGAAATATTTGCACATTTTTTTCTATGTTTTGTGGCTTGTTTTTTTCAAGTTCTCCCAGAGATATACTATATAGAAAACATAATGGCATTGACATCATTTAAAATAATGCAAACGTTTCCTTATCAGAATTACATCAGAGGTTTTACTATTATGCATTCCATTTTCCCCATCCTGTCCATCCATAGCATCCATCCATTGCAGTGACCCACAGTGATAAGACCCATTATTATTCACCTCTTTGCCTGTTTCTGTCGATTATTTCCACTTTCCAGCAAAAGCATATAATAGGTATAATGGATTTGCTTTATTTATTTATTTATTTATTTATGAGACTTACATACCGCTTTAAGTGTAAGCACTCTCTAAGTGGTGTACGCCAGTAAGCAATGTATATATATATTTACATTGCCCCCAACAATCTGGGTCCTCATTTTACCTACCCCAGAAGGATGGAAGGCTGAGTCAACCTTGAGCCAGTGAGATTTGAACCGCTGACCTGCTGAACAGTCAGCTAAAGTGGCCTGCAGTACTGCACTCTAACTGCCGCGCCACCACTTTCTTTAACAACCACTTTAAAATGTTGTTAAGTTGGATCCGGTCACATAGTAACCTACTTAATGACCACAACGTCTTATAACTATATTTCCAGGGTCAATTATGGTCATAAGTCAAGGACTACATGTACAACATCTTCTTATACTCCTTTCATCAAACATCTTTAACCTGTTTCTCAATAATAAATAAATGCTGTGGACATAGTATACTTAGATTTCAATGAAGCATTTGACAAAGTAGACCACAACCTACTGCTTGGTAAGCTAGAAAAAGGTGGAATAGACAACATCACCACCAGATGGATTTGTAGCTGGCTGGCAAACCATATTCAATGAGTAGTCTTCAATAGAACTATATCCACATGGAGAGAAGTAAACAGTGGGGTACTACAAGGTTCCGTCTTAGTACTTAGTACTCATCAATATCTTCATAAATGACTTATATGAGGGAATAGAAGGGGAATTCATCAAATTTGCAGATCATACTAAACTGGCAGGAATAGCCAACACCTCGGAACACAAACTTGGGATCCAAAAAGATCTTGACAAACTTGAACAATGGGCCCTATCCAACAAAATGAGTTTCAATGTGGAGAAAAACAAAGTTTTACATTTAGGCAAGAAAAATCAAAAGTATAACTACAGATTAGGTTCAAAAACAGTATCTGTGAGAGGGACCTTGGAGTCCTAATGGATGATGACTTGAATATGAGCCAGCAGTGTGCAGCAAGAGCCAAAAAAGCTAATACAATCTTGGGTTGTATAAACAGAGGCATAGAATTAAGATAGTGTGAAGTATTAGTACAACTTTATAAAACTCTAGTAAAACTACACCTGGAATACTGCAACCAATTTTGGTCACCCTACTACAAAAAAGATGTTTAGACTTTGGAAAAAGTTCAGAGAACAGCAACTAAGATAATCCAAGGCCTGGAGACTAAACATATGAAGAATGGCTGCAGGACTTGGGTTTGGCTAGTCCAGGGATCTTCAAACAAGTCATAAAAGGGCCAAGTTTGAAGACCCCTGGGCTAGTCTAAAGAAAAGAAAAAACAGGGGCGACATGATAGCAGTATTCCAATATTTGAGGGGCTGCCACCAAGAAGAGGGGGTCACATTATTGTCCAAAGCACGAGAGGGCAGGACAAGAAACAATGATTGGAAACTGATCAAAGAGAGAAGCAACCTGGAATTAAGGAGAAACTTCCTAACAGTGAGGACAATTAACCAGTGGAACAGCTTGCCTTCAGAAATCATGGGCGCTCCATCAATGGAGGTTTTGAAGAAGAAACTGAAATGATATAGGTTCTCCTGCTTGAGCAGGGGACTGGACTAGAAGACCTCTAAGGTCCCTTCCAGCTCTATTCTATTCTAAATAAATATAAGTCAGTTTGGTCTAGTGGTTAAGGCACCAGGTTAGAAAGCTGGAGACTAGAGTTCATTTCCTGCCTTAGCCATGAAAGCCTGGTCATTCTCTCTCAGCCCAGCCCACCTCAAAAGGTTGTTGTTGTGGGAAAAATAGGAGGAGGAAGGTGTATGTATGTGCTGCCTTGAGTTAAATAAAAATGGGATATAAAAAAAACCAGACAAATAAATAAATCAGAATGGGGTAAATACATAAAGAGAATCAATAAAACAGGATAAAGTTTTATTGATCCGTTTTTCACACTTATAACCATTGCAGCCTCCCCATCAAAATTTGGGCGCTTGGCAACTGACTCATATTAATGATTGTTTCAGAGTTCCAGGGTCATGTGATCACCTTTTGTGACCTTCTGACAAGCAAAATCAATGGGGAAGCCAGATTCACTTAACAACCGTGTTAGTAATTTAACAGTTGCAGTATTCCACTTAACGACTGTAGCAAGAAAGTTCACAAAATGGGGCAAAACTCACTTAACAACTGTGTCACTTAGCAACAGAAATTTTAGGTTCAAATGTGGTTGTAAGTCTGTACCAGGTTTATTTTTTTAAATCCTCAAAAATTATCCTACTGGGCCTAAATGACCCCATTTGATATCATAAACATACCATAACCTTCTGTTGGTGGGAATAAATACTAAAAAAAAAAAAAAGTGTGGTCTTTGTGCTAAACCACAAACCAGAATTCAGTTATCTTGTTGAGCCAAAAGGAAATAAACCACAATATGACTTTAATTGTACAAATAATTTGCTTCCCAAGGTTCCTCTCTGTTGCTCCTTGTCTTTTTATTATTGCCACTCTTCGATGGTTATGGGCTAGTTATTTGCTTACATTTTAAAAAAATATTCGTATATGTCTGCTGCTAGCTATTCACTAGTTTAAGCACACTCGAGTGGATTAAAATCAAATATTTTCATAAACCAAAAAGCAAGTGAATAAGTGTCTGCTTCATCCTTGTGTCCTTTGATGGGAAAAGCTGCATCATCTGTGCCTTTAGCAGCCTCTTCTCTGAATGTCAAGGACTTATTCCTTTTAAAGGACGAATGATATTTTTAAGGTATTTATTAAGGTTTATTATAGTAGAAAAAACAAACAGAAGCAAAAAATCAGAAAAGAAAGGGAGGAGAGAAAGAGGAAAGAGTACAAAGATAGAGAAACAAAAAGCGGGGAGAAGCAATGATTTCTGACTTTTTTCAGTGCAGAAGAGTACAAAAAAGTTATAATCACAACTTTTGGCTTTACATTTCTAATAAACACAAACCATTTCTATAGCCACAGTTTCAGTCTAATTATCAAAAGTTAAAATCAAATCTTCATCTTTTTCTGTTTTGCTCATAAAGTCCAGAAACAGTTTCCAAGTGGATAAGTTCTTGCCTTTAATTAAAGTAGTGGCTCCCAACCTTTTCTATACCCCGCACCCCTAGAATGCTTCTGATATATTCTCACACCCCTTACAAAAATTCAAAATAACGGCAATGAATTATGCACATACACTATAATTTTGAAAGCCCAAGTTTTTGCATCCCCTGGAATATCGTCTTGCACCCCCAGTTGGGAACCCCTGAATTAAAGCAATTAGCTTTGGAATGGACTAACTTGTTGCAGCCAACTTCCCATGGCCAACTCGCAACGGCGACCTCACTGCAGGGACAACTTGCTTCAGCCAACTTGCCATGGCCAACTCATTGCTGCCAACTTGCCACGGCCAATCTGCCACAGCTACAGGGACAACTTGCTGCAGCCAACTTGCCATGGCCAATTCATTATTATTATAAAGTTTTCTCAATGATCATTTTCTAAATATTAACAGTTGTCCATGTTGAGCTACTTGAAAATAGGGACAATATTTGGTGTTTTGCTTTCTGAGTGGTGGGTGAGTGTATCCATATCATTTGAGCCACAGTTTCTTTTAGAAAAAAATATAGCAAAGCATTAAGTTAAACAATATATTTTAAAAAAGCAGCTAAAGGGAGACATCTGCTGGAAAGTATCTTGTTCTGTACTTTCCAGAGATTAATCAATAGCACTGTCAGTATAGTTCAAACTGATAAACATTTTACCACTCATAAATTGAGCAACTCCACAAGAAGCCAACTTCCTGTTGACTTTTAGAAGAAACAGCTAAGTCTGAATTCAGTACCTAGGATTAACACTATGTTAACGTGTATTTCCTTATATGTATACAAAAAAGCATACATAGATACTTGTGTATGTGTGTGTTTGTGTGTGGTAAGTATAATATAACCATATATCCATACATATAGTTATGCTTTGCAATGCTTTGGATCTGAGGACCAAAAGATGTTTTAAAATGCACAGGGATAGCTTAGCCTTAGAAGGTTTAAAAAGTGAATCTATCATAGCACTGGGAGAATGACCAATAGCAAGTTACAGATAATGTGTGCCTATTGTCTTCTAAGAAGAGAGAGTTCCTAAGTCAAGCTTAATTGAGGGTAATTTTATGGATATACTTATGTAATTTTCTCAGCAACAATAAGAAAGTAATTTGCTAATGCCATATCCCAGAATATTTAACTGACTATCAAGTTTAGCCTACTGCCCTAGAATTTCCAGGAGGTATTCACAGAAACACTAAGTAAGCTTGTTTAGCTTTTTTTTTCAAGGTTATTGAGATGTTCTGGAACTCTATGAGATTGGCAATTATATTTGAAGGCTCTTATGCCTTCCGTTATAGCCTGAACATAGAGATTATGCTGGTGCAAATGAAGATAGGATCCCCTTATTGATTGTTCAATTATTTTATATCAAGTATATTATAAAACTCAACCAAGAGATTATAAAGTGGCAGGCTGCATTGCCATTCTTAAAAAAAGAATTAATAGAGATGTCCTTTTATTGTTGTTGATTTTTTTTATTAATCAATTGATATATCCTCTCAGTTGCAAAAGAAACTCTAGGTAGCTTATATATTAGAATTAAAATCTGAAACATAGAATAAGAATAAGCTGCTATGGTAGATTAATTGCCTGATCCTCTTTGAACCTTGGGATCTTCTTAAATTCAGCTTGCTTTTTGAAAAACAGCTGGGCTAATATATGGTCTGCTGTTGCATGGAAATAGTCATCCATATCTAGAGTTTGCAGCTGCCAAAACAAACAAACAAATAACATATGGATTGGAGATATCAGAATATATGTCAATGTTTATACACTATTGAGGTAATACTATGTGAACATGTGAATAATAACATGCAATATTATGTAATATTATGAGAAGCTGTGCCTGCCTCTGGAATGAGATTCTCTCCACGATCTGGATGGCTCCCACTCTGGTGTTTCTTATAAGAGCTGTGAAGGTCTGGCTCTTCACCAGCCTTCTTTGGCAAGGGAGAGGGATATACCATTAAATAACCCTATCACAGATGCCCAAGGCTACTAAGTGACTCACCTCCTGTGTGTTAAGTCAGGACAGCAGGAGGAAGAAGAAACCTAAAATTTAATTCCTTGAGAAGATATAGAATTCTCTGACATTTTACATTGCAGTAAACTTTTATATGTGAGACTTCATTTTTGTCCTCCATAAAGATCTAATCTAGTTTGAGAAGGTGAGCGAAGGTTTAAGTGTTTGGAGACTGCTGATTTACTGCTGTGCCCAAAGGTGAGGTTTGATAGTTTTGGAATTGAATCTGAAACATCCTCCTAAATCCAGACAAATAGCAATAGCACATAGATTTATATATCACTCCATAGTGCTTTACAGCACTCTCTGGGCAGTTGACAATATCAGCATATCGCCCTGAACAATCTGATTCCTCATTTTACCAACCTCAGAAGGATGGAAGGCTGAGTCAACCTTGACCCCCATTAGGATTGAACTCTAGGCGTTGGGCAGAGTTTGCCTGCAATACTGTATTCTAACCATTGCACCACAGAGCTCTTAATAAGAAACACAGAATGGTTCAATCAATCATTATTCAATCAATGCTGAAAGGCAGCTCTGTACGGGAGAAGCTGTTTTCTCAGACATTCTGGTAGTTATTGAGGACTTCATGGGATAATAGCAAAACTTAAAACTTGCCATAGGAAACCAGTGTAAGTTCAGCATCATGGATAAGGGCACAGAGCAATTACAGTACTTTATAATACATTAAAAAGTTAGCATCATATATACAATATATATACAAAGCATCATAATATACAGTTACTTTTTTATTTTAATCTCCAAAGCATTTAACACTTGCATTTGGTTCATAATAACTTAGAGGTCTAATGAAATGGTAGGTCGCTGTTGGCATGTATAGCAAAATTTCTAGGAATTCAAATAGATGTCTCACCTGGTTGTTGGTGCTGAATGCCAAGATGAGAAGCAAGTCCTCATCACAGGTGCTCTTGATGTAGTGTTGGGTTCCAACTGGGAAGAACACAACATCTCCAACATCAATGCTAAAGTCAGTAGAAAGAGTAGATGAAACAATAACACCCACCTGCAAATAAGATGCACCACAACAAATTAATACTTGCATATCCAGAATCTTGGTTTCATTTGACTCAACAGCAGTCCTTAACTTAAACCATTTATTTAGTGACCATTCAGAGTTACAGTGGCACTGAAAAAAGAGACTTACAACTGGTTCTCATACTTATGACAGTCACAGTCTTTCCTCTCCAGAGTCATATGGTTAAAATTCTGATGCTTGGTAACTGTCATGTAGTTACAATGCTTGAAGTATCCCTGGATTATGGCTTCACCTTAACAACCTTCCCAGCCAGCTTCTAACAAGCTAAATCAATGGGGGGGGGAACCAGATTTTCTTAACAACCATGTCAAAAAGATCATAAAATCAGGCATAAGTCACTTGGGAAAAATAAATTGAGTAAGATGCTTTGCTCATTTATACTCATTAAGAAGCTTCCACTTTTCTTCTCCCTCAATTTCTCTTTCCATTTTTTGTCTCCCAGACTCTAGTAGTTCTTCTGACAGCTCTATTGTCCATTTTATCAAATCTTTTCTTGTCTTCAGGTTCATTTTGTTGTTCTGAAAAATGAAATATCTTTTCCATTTCCAATATTATAGCAAAATCTTGTGATTTTTTCTTTGTGTTAAGTTGTAGTTTTCTTCATTTGTAGGTTCTATCTTTGAATCACTTTCCTCTAGTTTTTGTTCTGTTTTCTGATTTGTTTGTTCATTCTTTATCACCATTTTCTGTGATTTTTTTTAATCATGAGTTTAAGTCAAAATGTGTTCATTTATATCATCAAAGTTATTTTTAATTTCATTATGATTTAAATCCATTGTTGTTTGAATTAGTTGCAACATAGCATACATTTCCTCCTGGAAAATATTTGTTTTATCTTGAAGTATTTCTCCTGCAGATCTCTGATGTTCCAGACTGGGGATTTTAGAAAAGAATATTGTATGTGGTTTCTTACCACTTTTAGTTGTATATGCAACCTCCATTTTCATCAAACCAACCAGTCTTAAATTCCAAAAACTATAGTCTTATATATCTCTTATCTTTATAAACAATCCAAAATGTTCAGTCTTTTAAAAACAATCCAGTAATTTCCCCCCTAGAAGAATAGCCAAAAGGTCAAAGTTTTTCTTTCTCTACAGACTATTTTTAAACTTAAATATCACAGCTCAGTAAGTATTTATAATACAAGACGATCAGCAGTTTTCATAAATAACTATATTTCTCATTCTGCAATAGATAGCCCAGTGTGTTTTCTTTCTTCTATTCCCAGCTGTTCTCTGTTTAGCTAGGAGTCCTTGAGGATCAAAGGGATTAAAAGCACTCCATTTCTGGGCATCTTGCCAATTTCTGAGGTAGAACAGCTATAGTTCTATTCTCTGTTCCACCACTATATGTCAGTGTCTGTTTATTTTCCAGCTTTTAAAATGAAAATATTATTTTCTTGTAATTCCATTAATATTCTATTAAATAGAAAATCTTAACAATTTCCATAATTTTCAGTTTTGTCCAAATTATAGCTTTACATTAGTCCATTTCAATGTATTTCTGTCCCCCTTAAAAATTAAATTGCCACTTCCGTCTATGAAAGAGTGGAGTTATAGTCCCCTTCCTTCTCACTTTCAGAGATTTTTTGCTTCTTGGGGATCTTTTCCGGGAAATCAGTTTCAAAATAGAGAAAAGAAGATCAATATTCTCACCCAGCCCCAATACACTGTTCACAGTTAGCCTTTCTCCTCTTGGGTTGGAGGGCTTACCCCAGATCAAACGGATCGACCACAGTTGTTCTGTGATCATTGGGATGCCCCTCCTTCTTTGTCACCTCTCCGGGACAACTTTCAACCCATTTAGGGTCTCTAGGCAGGGCAAAACCAACTGTGGGGTGCGGAACTCCGCAATCCCTCGGCTGCATCGCTACGATGCAAAATCGGAAGTCCATTGTAAGTCACTTTTTTCAGTGCTGTTGTAAATTTGAATGGTCACTAAATGAATGGTTGTATGTTAAGGGCTACCTGTAAAGCTTAACTAGGATCTGTGAGACTCAGCCTACATCTTCTTAGGGAAGATCCTACAGCTTACATCATTCTACCCCAGTGTGGCACAGAATAGAATAGAATAGAATAGAATAGAATAGAATAGAATAGAATAGAATAGAATAGAACCTTGGAGGTCTTCTAATCCAACCCCCTGCTCAGGCTATTTCAGACAAATGGTTGTCCAATCTCTTCTTAAAAACTTTCAATGTTGGAGCATCCACAACTTCTGGAGAGAAGCAGTTCCACTGATTAATTGTTCTTACTGTCAGGAAATTTCTCCTTAGTTCTAAGTTGCTTCTCTTCTTGATTAGTTTCCATCCATTGCTTCTTGTCCTGCCTTCATGTGCTTTGGAGAATAGCTTGACTCCATCTTCTTTGGGGCAGCCCCTGAGATATTGGAACACTGTATGATATCACTCCTGGTCCTAAAACTAAAACTAATGTGGAAAGCCAGCCCCCCCCCCGAGAAGGAAATATTAAAAGGGCAGGAAAGCATCTTAAATGCCAAAGGATGCCAAAGATGCCAAAGGATCTTAAAGAGGCAGTAAAGCACGCCCAGTTTTTCTTAATAGCCCCAGATCTCCGTCCCCAAGCAGAAACCAGCTCTGTACAAATGCAGATGTAAATCCAGGAAGATTGAAGCTAGAAGCTTAGGAAGACAAAGACACCTAAAATCTACATACCCCACCCAAGGTCTAAGCAGGACATAATAGGATTAACTCACAGATGTCAAAGGAACACAGGTCAAAATACATGACACAGGAAAAACAAAGCCTCAAACAGGAACAGGAAATAACCTCCAAACAAAAGGTTCCAGAGGGTATAAAAACCCACTCCCTACATGTGCTCAGACCTTTTTTTCTCTTTTTTCTGCCAGACCCATCATCCTGTCTGACTCTCCTCTTCAATAAAGTGCAACCTTCTTTCTAAAGCAGTCACTATGTTGTTTATCCCTGGCTTGGACTGAACTACAATGAAGACTTTTCTTCCAACACTAAACATACCCAATTCCAGCAACTGTTCTTTATATGTTTTAGCCTCCAGTCTCCTAATCATCTTTGTTGCTCGTCAAGTATAATTCCCAGAATTCTTAACTTTGGGAAATGTTGGCATGCATCACAGTGGTTAAAATTAAATTGCTACCTTTCCGCAGCCACTGATGACATAGCCCATTTCATTGGCATTGAAATGGAAATGAGGTTGTCGTAAACCGTTGCTGAAGATCTGGAGTGTTGCTAAGGTAAGAGCATCTTCCTTCTGAAAAGAAGAAACAAACCTCACATATATACAATAGTAGCAATAGAGAAATTGTGACCTCATCCTTCCTATCCTTGTTTGCTTTTAAATTTTAATTTATTGTGAATAATTGTATTTACTATGGATGTTTTAACACTTTGCATAACTTGTTATCTACAGAGAGTCTTGAGTGAATTATTTATTTAGTCCACAAATTATGGAAGATTGGAATAATTTCCAATATTGCAAATGGATACATATATAAACTCATATTTTATATGAGTTTTTAATGACACCTCCTCCCACCTCCAAAATAAAATTTGAATGAGATAATGACTGCCCTAACTAGCCTCCAAAGCACAATAGCAATTTTTACCAGCATACTTACCGAATGGAGAAATTCACTGTAAAAGTTTTCATTGGGTTTTAAGCCTTTTCCATCTTTTACATACCGAGCCCACTGGATGACTCCCCCTGGAAACCGGAATTTGGAGGATCCTGAATTGAGAATATAAATGGTTAGTGTTATGTCCCGAGCCTTGCAAACGGCTCGGGCGTTTGCAGGCAGTCCCGGGCAGGTGCAAAGCTGCCCGGGACCAGACAGGCTGTCGCCAGCGCCGTGCGCATGCGCGGGTGCTGGCGCGGGAAAAGTAACCCATTTACCCGGGAGTTGCCTATATAAGAGGCTGTGAGGCGTTTGGGCTGAGCTGAAGCCATCTTCCTGTAAGCTGAACGCTGAATAAAAGAACCTGAGAACTCCAGCTGCTTCTCGTGTCTGTTTTCCCGCCAAGGACGCAACACTGGCGACGAAGGTGGGATGCCTTGCACTACCTGGAAAGGAAAAAGTGTAAGCTTACCCAAGGAGTCCTGAGCGGCGGAAGAGGAACGGTGTTGACTCAGCAGCTGCCCGCCAATCCAGTGCGCATTCGGGGGTAGGCTGGCTGATAGACCCGTCTCCTGAAGATCCGAAGATGGCGAAAATCGGAAGGCTTGCGGAATTCGACGTCTCACATCCAGAGCGGTGGGAGTCCTACGTATCCAGAATGGAGAACTACTTCAAGGCAAACCAAGTGAGGGAAGATAGCTTGAAGGCTGCCACCCTGCTTTGCGCTTGCGGCCAAGACGCCTTCGAAATCGCAGAAAACCTTGCAGCACCTGTTCCAGTAGAGTCTGTAAGCTACGCAGACCTGAAGAAGCTGCTGAAGGACCACTTCCACCCCAAGGTGTCCGTTATCTCATGGCGCCACACCTTCGAGCAGAGGGATCAACGGTCCGGGGAGTCAGCCAAGGAGTACATCGCCGCGTTACGGAAGGCCGCCAAGCCCTGCGAGTTCAAGGACCTCGAGGAACGACTGAGGGACCGATTCGTGTGCGGGTTGAGGCATCGAGAGCTACAACAGAGACTTTTCGCTAAGGAAGAATTATCCTTCCAAGACGCTTTAAGGGAAGCCACCGCGGAAGAAGCAGCAGGCGGCGCCGTCAAGAACATGCGGCCGATCAGAAGCAGTGCAGAGGGTGCGTCCGTGCACCAAGAAGACGTCCGACGAAACTCCGAGGAGGATCCGGACGAAGAAGTCGACCGTCTACACCCCGCGAAGGGAGAAAATCAGAAGGAAAGCTCTTCAGCTCCGCTCAAGTGCATCGGCTGTGGAGGTCGCCACAGGAGAACCGACTGCAAGTTCCGCTCCGCTACCTGCCGGGCATGCGGCAAACAAGGGCACATTGCAGCTGTGTGTCTGGGCCGACGAAAGGCACAACCTCAAGAAGAACGCCTGAAGGGTACCAGAGTCCCCAGCCAGAATAGGGTAGGTTTTTGCGCTTCGCGTAGAAACATTTGTAGGACAGGCACACACAAGCCCATGAAGAAAAAGCTGTCACTCAACGTGAAGCTACAAGGGGTTCCATTATCTATGGAACTAGACACAGGGTCTGCCCTTTCCATCATTTCATTGCATACATTTAGGAAGATTTGTTCCAGTAGTGGGACTAAGGCCAAGTTAAGGCCTTCTGATATTGTATTAACTGATTTTCAGAACTCAAGAGTGTGTGTTAAGGGGGAGGCCACCCTTAACGTGCAATACAAGAGTTTTGAAGGTCCACTAGACTTGTTAGTAGTAGGGGGTGAAAGAACGAGTCTCATAGGACTCGATTGGTTTGAGGCCCTGGGGATACACGTCACAGGACTCAACAGCTTACAAACACTCGACCTACAGGAAGTCTGCAAGGAATTTGCAGATGTTTTCAGCCCCCAGCTGGGCACATTCAAAGGACCACCTGTGTCCTTAAAGCTAGACCCCACTGTCACTCCCATTAGGATTAAAGCAAGAAGGGTCCCTTTTGCTTTAAAAAGTAAGATTGACACTGAATTAGACAAACTAATCCAACAAGGAATCCTAGAACCTGTTGATTCCAGCCCATGGGAGACCCCCATTGTCACGCCTCTAAAGGCAAATGGGGACATTCGCATTTGTGCTGATTACAAATGCACACTCAATAAGGCATTGCAGCAACATGCCTATCCTGTTCCTGTGGTCAGTCACATCCTGGCCTCTCTCAAGGGGGGGCGTGTTTTTGCAAAGCTTGACCTAGCTCAAGCATATCAACAGCTGCCTGTTGATAATGATGCTGCCATAGCTCAGACTATTGTGACCCACAGGGGAGCCTTTAAGGTAAAAAGGCTGCAGTTTGGAGTGAATGTCGCTCCTGGGATTTTCCAAAGCGTAATGGAAAACACACTACGAGGTATACCAGGGGTCTGCCCCTACTTTGACGATGTCTTGATTGCAGGAGACTCCACACACATTCTAGCTGAAAGGCTTAGGGCTGTCCTGTTAAGATTCAGGAAATCAGGCCTTAAGCTCAGAAAAGACAAATGCAAGATTGGGGTGCCTTCTACTGAATTTCTGGGATTCAAAATTGATGCTGCTGGGATTCATCCTGCTGAATCCAAACTAACTGCTATTTTAGAAGCACCCAGGCCAAAGTCTAAGGCCGAACTTCAGGCCTTCTTAGGCCTCCTGAATTTCTACAATTCTTTTCTTCCACATAAAGCTAGTGTAGCTGAGCCTCTTCACAGGCTACTAGACAAACAGGCTGTGTGGCTGTGGTCACAAGCGCATGAGGCTTGCTTTAAAGAAGTCAAGGCCTTGCTCACTTCTAACAGTGTTCTTGCACATTTCAACGAGTCTCTTCCTGTGTGCATCGCTTGTGATGCATCCCCCTACGGGGTTGGAGCTGTCCTGAGTCACCTCAGGTCTGATGGAACTCAGGTTCCTATTGCATACTACTCCAGAACATTGTCTTCTGCCGAGCGCAACTACGCTCAGATAGACAGGGAGGCTCTGGCTGTTGTTGCTGGAATTAAAAAATTCCACGATTTTCTATATGGCAGGCATTTCACGGTCTTCACTGACCATAAGCCTCTGCTGGGACTGTTTACCACACGTAAGCAGACTCCCCACATCATTTCCCCTAGAATGCTTAGGTGGTCTATTTTTTTGTCTGCATATGATTTTTCATTACTCCACAAGCCTGGGAAAGAAATGGGCCATGCTGATGGCCTCAGTAGGTTGCCTCTGCCAGTAGTAGAAGCTGACCCCGCGCCAGCTGTCAACATTCTATCAATCCAAGCCTTACCCGAGCTTCCTCTTAGTGCCAGGGATGTTACCGCTGAAACAGGTACAGATCACACACTTTCACGTGTCCGCTCCTGGGTCCTGTCCGGGTGGCCTGAGCACTGCCCTAGTCCTGAGTTTCAGAGTTTCTGGTCCAAAAGGAACGAACTGTCCCTTTCTCAGGGTTGTCTGCTTTGGGGAAACAGAGTTGTCATTCCCACCTCAATGAGGACTAGGGTCTTAGAATCCCTCCACGAGGGTCATCCTGGCATTGTTCGTATGAAGGCTCTTGCACGCAGCCACTTGTGGTGGCCTGCTTTAGATAAAGATATTGAGGCTAAGGTACACGCATGCCACATGTGCCAACGATCTCGCCCAGAGATGCCCCAAGCTCCTGTGCATAAATGGGAGGAAACACAGTCCCCATGGTCTAGGGTGCACATTGACTACGCTGGGCCCTTTCAGGGCCAGTTCTTCTTGGTCCTTGTTGACAGCCATTCAAAATGGCTTGAGGTTGTGCCTGTCTCATCCACCACCACTGCAAAGACTATTCAGGTACTGAGGGGGATTTTTGCTGCACACGGGCTGCCAGATGTCATTGTGTCCGACAACGGCCCTCAATTCACCTCCTCCGAATTCCAAGCTTTCTTACAGGCAAACCTGATTCGTCATGCCACATCTGCGCCTTTTCACCCGTCCACCAACGGTATGGCTGAACGCATGGTGCGCATCGCAAAGGACGCCTTGAAGAGACTCACCTACGGGGACTGGCATCACAGGTTGGCTGACTTTCTCCTTTCTTATCGCACCACACCGTCCACTTCTACAGGGAGAAGTCCAGCTGAACTTCGTTGGGGGCGCCAACTTACTACGAGACTTGACCGGTTGCATCCGGACAGACTGCCTTCATCTACCTCACATCCTAGGGCACCTAGACAACTACTTGTGGGTGCCCCGGTTTGGGCTCGCAATTACGGGCCTGGTCATACATGGGTCCCCGCTTCTGTGTCCAGGATCACAGGTCCTCTCTCCTACGAGGTTGCCCTGGACAACGGTCGTGTCCTGCGTCGGCACATCGACCAACTCCGCTCTAGGCGGGACTTTTCTGCTGAAACTCCTGGGTCTTTTCCAGGGGGGGAGGGGGACCCTTTGGAGCAAAGGGAAGGGCAAGAGCTACTGCCCATCGCCACTGAGGGAGCCACAAACGGCTCGTCCCAAGGTTCTGCAATTGCTCCGAAAAGGAAGTCTTGGAGCTTACCCACACAACAGGCACTCACGCCTACTCCAGCCAGGGAGTTACCCCGGGGGCATACTCACTTTCCACACACAGCACACAGCACTCCAGCAACGGAGGATACCCGGGGGCATCCCAACAAATCATTCCCCGCAAGAGAGCTGGCACACAATGCCCAAGGTTGGCCTGACCTTACCCCAAATCCTACAGGGGGTCAAACATACACAGAGCTAGTCGAGGAACCAAGTCCCGACTACAACACCCCTAGCACAAATCAGGGGACACCTGAGTTTTGGGAGAGTACAGAAACCCACACGAGCCCAAACACAGAATGGGGTTCAGGGAATAGACAGCCTCCTGACAGGTCTTGGACTGACCTAGGGGGTTCTACAGAGACGCCCAGCAGTGGCTATCACTTCAAGGGGCCTGAGGGTCTACAGCTAGGTAGGACAACCAGGTCACAAAGCAACAGAAGCCCTGGCCTGACGAGCCCGGTGGGCAAGCAAGCAGGCCAGGCATCGGGGCACAGTCCTTGGAAGACACCAGGGCACAGTAGAGAGAACAGGCTCACGCCTCCCTCCAGTCAGGGGACTTATGCCAGTAACCCAGAGCTAAGAAGGTCACAGAGAGCAAAGAAATCTCCTAAGTACCTAGAAGATTACATAACATTGTTGGCAAGACAAAAGCCAGTAAACAGTGGGAACACTGGGGAGCAAATTGTCGTGTAAAATAAATGTTGTATGTTGATAGTAGTTTTAGCCCGGGGGAAAGGGGTGTTATGTCCCGAGCCTTGCAAACGGCTCGGGCGTTTGCAGGCAGTCCCGGGCAGGTGCAAAGCTGCCCGGGACCAGACAGGCTGTCGCCAGCGCCGTGCGCATGCGCGGGTGCTGGCGCGGGAAAAGTAACCCATTTACCCGGGAGTTGCCTATATAAGAGGCTGTGAGGCGTTTGGGCTGAGCTGAAGCCATCTTCCTGTAAGCTGAACGCTGAATAAAAGAACCTGAGAACTCCAGCTGCTTCTCGTGTCTGTTTTCCCGCCAAGGACGCAACAGTTAGGCTCATGAGTAATGCTCAAAGGTTTCATATTGGCTCCATTATTTTATGTAGTATTATTTTTGATTAATGGAAAGCTGATGTAGAGCACATGTTTTTCACATTGTGTAGAAGCCAGGCCAAACTTTTAATATATGTATGCTACAGTGATCCCAAAACCTTTTCTGCCTGCAGGCAGGCATAGGTTTGATTGATTGACTGATTATGTGCCATCAATTTGATATTGATGATTAACAGTAATAAATCATCTGCAAGATGATTTATCATCAGCTCGTGCTACCAATAGCGTGTTAACTCTGCTGAGGTCCATTGGTCAATAACAATGGAGAGAGGAAGCTTGCTAGGAATGGAGAAATATTTTCTCAAAATAATGTCCTGAGATTGTTGAGAAAGAATTGTGTAATTGATGCTGATCTGATGGTAAAAACATATTTTACTTTATTTAACGCTTATGTACTAATATATTATAACATTTTAGTATGAATTTTTGCTTCTTTTTCATAGTTAGTTCAAATGGTATAGAAGAAATTATATGGTTAACAAGGATATGACTATACATTTATATTTTAAAAGTGTTGGATTTATTTAACTTAAAAATAAGGAAAGCCTCTTGATCTTGTTTCAGTTTTTTTTTTTTTTTTTTTGTCAGAGAGCAGAATTATAGTATTTGGATCTATCATGTCTTCAGTACCAGTATAAATATACATACATTCATAAAAGATGTTTACTTTTTTTTTTTTTTGCAAACATCTAGGACCTAAATAATGCAAAAATATCAAATGTCACAATGAATAGAAATAGTTTCAACATGGACTTGACCTGAGAGTGGTGGTGATGTTGCAACCTATTCTCCAAAGCACCTAAAGGCAGAACAAAAAGCAATGATGGAAACTAATCAAGGAGAGGACCAACCTAGAACTAAGGAGAAATTTCCTGACAGTGAGAACAATTAATCTGTGGAATGATTTGCCTCCAGAAGTTGTGGGTGCTCCAACACTGTAGGTTTTTAAGAAGAGATTGGACAACCATTTGCCTGATGGTATATTTTCTGCCTGAGCAGCAGATTGGAGTGGAAGACCTCTAAGATCCCTTCCAATTCCGTTATTCTATTATTCTGTAGCAATGTAAGTGCATACTTTATTGTAGCAAGCAAGAAAAGATCTTCTTAGCCAATGCCAAAATACTACTTGCAGAATGTTACACAACCAAGAGAGTTTCTGGTGATGATTGCAACTGTTGCATAGCTTATATGGGAAAAGGCAGTCTCTCTCAGGCTGTTGACCCATATAGTTAGAAACCAAGAATGATAAGATCAGTTACTTCAGGATAGTTTCTTTATTATTGCTTGCCTATAGACAGAAATCTTGCCAGACTAAACACTTATCTGCATAACTATTAGATATACAGTAAGTACCCTATGAACTGCTTGGGGGGGTCCACCCTCCCCCTTTCCCTGCCTACCAAAGATTCCAAGTTTATTGTCTCTTTTCTCCCTGGGAAAGAACTTTCTGGACCTACATTCCACCATACTCCTATATTATTTCCTGGGTAAGCATTTGTATACCTGATTGAAAATATAACACATGAAAATGTGATGAGGTCACCACCCCATTGTTGCATTAAAAGCCCAAAAGTTTTATCAGCCAAAAGTGGTTCTCTTCTGCATTTCCCCGTAGCTTGTTCTGTAGTACCTTTTAGGTCAAAGAAGTACCGCCATACAAGCTTATCTGCAGACTGGTTATAGTTGGCATTCTGAACAAGCTCTGCTAGGTTGGGTGGAAGATTGATGGCCTGGTCTTCTGCTTGCTTCAGGAATGACCGGATGAAATTCATACTTCCCTGAGGCTAGAAAACACAAGAAAATATTGTATTTAGTGGATCCAGGAAGGAATGGCAATTACTTCATCCAATAAAGTTAATTTTAGCTTACAAAGAGGTGAGTGGTAATGAGCCAAATGCAGAAGATTGTTAGGTGGCAAAGACCAAGACCACATGTGAAGTTCCAATTAAAATGTTTGTGGAGAGTCTCAGTCATCCAGGTCATGGTTGTCCCAAAGATGCTTTTCCAGAAGGCAACTGGACTTTCTTGGTTGTTGTTGTTTAAAAATGTTTGCTTCTCATTCAAGAAGCTTCTTCAGCTCTGACTGGATGGTGAGGCTGAATTCTTCAGTCAGAGCTGAATAAGCTTCTTGGGTGAGAAGCAAAATGTCTTCAAAGAAAAACAAGAAAGTCCAGTTGCTTCTTGAAAAAGCACCTTTGGGGCTTCCAATTAAAATGATTTATTCCTACTCATGCCTGTGCACAGGAATCTACTCGACTAACTGTTAGCATTATTTTGGCATTAGACGAGAGTCAACAGAATTCAACAGGGGTTGGACTTAGTCCATTTGTGGCTATTTAGAGACTCTAGGCTGATTCCTCTTTTGACTCCATCCCCAGGTTCTACCACTCCTTCTCTTACAAAGATTGTTAAAATATTTTAAAGGTTTCTCCTTTTGAAGGGAAGACATGAAGAAAAGTGTTGAAGGTTAGCTTCAGCCGAAGTTTTTTTGCTTATTTTATATCTTACACAGAAAGATATTTGCATTTGGCAATGTATGGGTAACCAGGAAGCAGGCTATTATGATGGGTGGCCAAGCACAAATTCAGAATGGCAGTCAAAATGATAGTGGATTTGTTAAGAATTAGGATTTGGAATTCCTGTTGTACAGACCTTTAGAGATCTTGCTTTAATGTCTTTGGGTGTCAAGAAAAATGTATCGTCAAGGTCTAGAGTCTGAAGCTCCTCATGAGTTGTAAAAAACAGCAAGAACAAACACTCTTCTGTACCAACATTCTTGACCCAATGCAAGGTATTTCGAGGGAAGAAAATAATCTGTCCTGCCGTGACATTGTACGTAGCTATCGTATCTCCACCAGCATCAACAACCCCAATCCACGCAGTTCCCTGAAACACATCATCAAAAAAACAATATAATACAATTGACCAGAAAATCATGTGGGGAGAGAATACCCCAGCAAATGATGAAACTAATAGTCTGAAACTATTTGGCTTGAACTGTATCAGCACCAAATTTATCATCTGGATAAACATGTATTTATATGGCCATAAAAAGGTCATCATGTGTAAAGTAGGAACAACCTTGGAGATCAGGTGGAAGAGCTGCAACCAAGGCCTTGGTCAGATAAAGGGAATCTTCAGCAGGAATGTCAAGAAAGCATCTCTGATGGAACCTTCCTTAGTTCTGATGGAAATAAAAGGAGGGATGGGGAAGGCATATTCAGATTTGCAAGATTGAAGTCAGCTTTCAGGGTAGACCAGACTAGGAAATCAGACTTAGGAATGCTGATGCTACTTTTATTACATGGTTATAGCCACAATCGTGCAAGTCTGAATGTTTATGCTTTCTTCACCCAGTGTCAGGTGCAAGAATGACACCTGATGATTCTTTCAAGCTGAGTTCTTTATGGTTTCCTACCTATAGACAATATCTTACCAGGCTGAGGATTCTATTATCTGCATCTACAATAACAATTAGGGAGGAGATGTTTTCAACCTCTCTCTCATGCACATGATATCTGGGCTGTGTTGCCTCTGGACTGTGTTGCCCTTTACTCCTCAGAAACCACCTCCTCACTACATTCCACCAAAGTCTCTTACACACTTTCAAGTTCTTGTCTTGATGATAAGTTGTCCCATTACTTATCCTTGGTTCCCACAACCTGGTAGATTATTTACCAAAGAGCTGTTGAATGCTTTTCAGATATATCTTGGTTAAGGAGTGTCACAGATTCAGATTTCCCTCCCAAAAATTATTTCATAGGGCTCTTGGAGAAAATGCTGCCTGCCTAGCTAACCTCTGCTACTGGATTTTGCCCTGTTTGTTTGAGGTGGGTTGGGGGGATGGAAGGGATTAAGTGGCCAATGTGCATGCACAGGTGTTTCAATACAGGTAGCCCTCAACTTACAACTATTCATTTAGTGACTGTTCGAAGTTACAACAGCACTGAAAAAAGTAACATGACCATTTTTCACATTTACGACCATTGCAGCATTTCCACAGACACATGATCAAAATTCAGATACTTGCCAACTGATTCATATTTGTGATAGTTGCAGTCACTGCCCACCTTCTGACAAGTAAAGTCAATGGGGAAGCCAGATTCACTTAACAACCAGGTTACTAACTTAACAACTGCAGTGATTCACTTAACAGCTGTGGCAAAAAAGATCATAAAATGGGGCAAAGCTCACTTAACAAATGTCTTGCTTAGCAACGGAAATTTTGGGCTCAATTGTGATCATAAATTGAGGACTACCTGTAAACTCTTTTCTTCCACTCTTCCACTACTAGTTACTTTTATATTCTTTGGCTCCCTCTCCAGTTGTTTAAAAATAATTGGGTAAATTAAAACATTACTTTCAATATTACCTTTAAGAGGTAACCCTGTTCGTTGGCATTGAAATGCCAGTGTGGAGCACGTAACCCTTTGCTTTTGATCAGCAGAGTCCCAAACATTATCTTGGAACGTTGAGCATTGATACTTGTTCCAAACGCCATTTCTTCCTTGTTCTGGTATTCATCAGCATTTCTGCGAAATCTTGACCATTGAATAACACCTCCTGGAAACTGGTGCATCTGGGATGTTGAAGAGGCATGACAATATTAATGGTTTTGATACAGTTCATAAATAGCTTTAAAAACCCAGTGACGATTGGCTCCCTCTTGATATAAAAAGATATTTACTTGGTGGATAAATACCAATTAATCAGATAATATCTGTTTAATTTCTCAACTATTGAAACAAATGTTTTAATCATTGAATCTGAACAGATGTCACAGTGTGACATTCTTTTGATCTTTGTGGTTTTAGGTAGCCTGAAGCAGCCATTTGCCTATGGCTATAACCCAGAAAAAAAGCAATGGAAAAGAAGAGACTTGCTTTCACTTCCAGATAAAGTTCACTAAGGTTTGAAATTTGTGAAATAGTCAATGAACATTTTACTAGAACAGTGTTTCTCAACTTTGCAACTTGACGATGTGTGGACTTCAGCTCCCAGAATTTCCTTACCAACATGGCTGGTTATGGGATTCTGGAAGTTGAAGTCCACACATCCCCAAACTGCCATGGTTGAGAAACACAACCCTAGAGAGTCCATCAATAAAGCACAAATCCAGAATTGATCCTTCACCCAGGTGTGACAGTTCTGCACAGCACAAAAATGCATGACATAGGGAACACCAAATTATGGGAATGATAGTAGCCTAATGTCCCATTGCAGGTGCCAGGAGGGGGGAAGAAGCCCATGCAGTTACTGTTCCACATGTCTGCACAAGTGCTGTAGAAGAAAAAGGAAGAATGAACAACTAGGAAGCCACAGCTTCCCCCTGACATGACTTGATGCTTGGGTGGCAAAATGTCTATAGAAATTCTCAATCATCCAGGTCATGGTTGTCCCAAAGATGCTTTTCCAAAAGACAACTGGACGTTCTTGGTTGTTTTTTTTTCTTTGAAAACGTTTTGCTTCTCATTCAGGAAGCTTCTTCAGTTCATTCATTCAGTTCTGGTGGTTAAAAAAAAACTTTTTGCACAAAGGGACCCTACAGATCAGTGATGGCCCTGGCTTTAACCCATGAGTTTTTGCTACCCAGTTTCTCTAGGCCTTGGCTAAAGAACCTATCTATTCTTTGAGTTCCACCAAAGATTAGCAGTTTAACCCTTAAAAATTAAAATTCCCAAATATTTGTCTTGTGCAAAAGAAATATGGAAGAAATATTTTAGTTATACCTTGGATTTAGTATGACGGTGGAGAAACTGGAACTTGAGGTCTACCTGGCTTTTGTAGGCAGACGTTATTGGAATTTTCTGGGAAGCTGATCCATGGTTTTCTTGATTCACTTTATGCTGTTGTCTTTTAAAGTCAGGGGTTCTAGCATAAATCACAGACAGAATCAACACCCCCACCATTGTGGTTATTGCACAGGCCAACAGACAAACCAGAAAGACATGGAGGAGAGACCAGTGGCTCTTTTTCACCTTGTGGGCAGAAAGGAAGAAAAAGAAAGGATTACAAGGAAACTCCGTAAAACTGGGTCACAACAATATTGCTATATTCCTGCTATGTCTGCATAGCTGTACCATCCATATTTTCTTAGAGCACGTTATCATTCAGCTTTTGGATAAAACATACCCGACTGTATCAAATCATCCACCATCACTTATTTAACAGTAAATTCAGATGTCTGAAGGGAAGTGATGTTTGAAACATCACCATCTAAAATTAAGATCCATTTGGAGTAGTGGTTGGCATCAGGCTGAAAACTGCAAGATTGTAAGTTCTCACCCTGCCTTAGGCACAAAACCAGCTGGGCGTCCTTGGGCCAATCACTCTATCTCATCCTTGGAAGGAGGCAATTAAAAAAATTACTTCCAAAAAATCTTGTCAAGAAAGTTGCAGGGACTTGTCCAGGCAGTTGCCAGAAATCAACCCTGACTTGAAGGTACACGGGAGACTTTACTTCCTGTAAAAGTGGCAGGTTTTGTTCTCAGCATTTTTTTTTTTTTTTGCAGGAAGTAAGAATTTTCTGAAAAATTCAAAGTAGGAGAAAAGGAAGGATGTAGAATAGTTCACTGTCCCTGGAGGCAACACCTGGAAAACCAGAACTGTAGATAGACCTGACAGGACTTTAATCATGGTCACATACTTATATGTGGAATGGATCATGAAGGTGGCAGAACTTGCCAAAATGCCTAAATTGACTTGTTTGATTAAGGAAGAAGCAATAACTACATTTGTAATAGACTAGAAACCCTTTATGCACTTTTTCCTGAATATGGATACAAATGAACCAGCGATCTCTGGATTTACCGATTAAAAAGCTGCATATGGGTAGAAGGGAACTATGCAAATTGGGAGAGAAGAAACCATCTTATGTTTATTACTGCTGCAAAGAAGTCACTTCTTTAAATACTTCTTTTTTCCTTTCTCTTTTCTGAACTTGGTTGTTCACTTTTTCTTCTATCTTTCCTATTTTTCTTGTTGTATATATATTTTTCTCTTTTCTACATTCTTTTTATTTTTCTGTAGCTTTTAAATTTGTAATAAAAATTCTTTAGCAAAAATGATATATATGAAAATGGACATAGCTTTGACAACACCATCATGGCTCCTGTCTTGACTTTCTGGACCATACTCTGTGGATATGCCTGGTTGGAAAAAAATATATGCAGAGAAGAGCGACAAAATGGTAAGGAAGTCTGGGGGCTAAATTGTATGATGAACGATTGAGGGAACTAGGTATGTCTAGTCTAGCAAAGAGAAAGTTTAAAGGGGGGGACATGATAACTGTGTTCCAGTACTTGAGGGGCTGACTCAGAGAAGAAGAGTTCAACTTTTATTCTACATGGCACCTGGGGGCAGGACAAAGAGTAATGGGTGGAAGCTTGTTAAAGAGAGCTACAACCTAGAAATAAGGAGAAATTTCCTGACAGCAAGAACAATTCATCAATAGAATAGCTATGGCACCTCCCAGAGTTGTGGATGCTCCATCACTGGAGGTTTTCAAAAATAGACTGGACAACCATTTGATTGGGATGATATAAAATATCCTGCCTTAAGTAGGGAGTTGGGCTATAAGACCTCCAATTACAGCCCTATGAATCTATGTTCTATAAAATTGGCAGCTCCAGAAGACAGTGAAGCAACAGGCAGCTTAATTTGTTGCTGCAATGATCAGCAACATTGACTGATGGGCTTAGGAAACAAATCCATTGCTTTATTCAAGAAGGGAAGGTTCCTCCTTTCACCCTGCCTTTTAGCTTTGACGTTCAACTCCATAATTGAATTATCTTGTCCTAATTCATCAATAAAATTGTTTGAGTTAATACCAAAACAAACATTGATTAATTCTCTCCTGCTTTTTTCTTTTCTTCTACTGTGGAAGAAAAGTTAATATTTAGTTAATCAATATTAACTTTGAAATATCCCAAGTTTTCTATTCCCCTCTTAGCCCGACCAGTTTTATTATCTGCCTGGCCTGAGACTGTTGACCTATTTTATATTATAGTTACTGAGACCAAGCCAGCTTCATAATTTATGAAAAATGTTTGAACGCCATAGTAAGATAAAGGTTGAAAATTACATAAATATATGTAAACAAATATATTTACTCAGTGCCTTGCTGGGACACTCTAAATGTTCCTGCTACTCAGTGGGAAGAGCCAACTCGTATGTATGAGGCATGCAAAATAGGTTTCCCTGCTATCGTCTTGTCATGTGAATGTGGCTATGGTAGGAAATCATGATTGTTTTCATCAAACATACTTTCCTTAATCATACCTAGTGTTTTCATTAACCATAGTTACAGTGTATGAATTTTATTTAAATAGATCTAACAAGGTCTTCTTTGTCATTAAGACAAATTCAGTCATGAATCTGACTGTTTGTAATGCATAGCACAATTGCCTATTATACCCTGTGCAGGACAAATGTATGTTCACACTATGAAAATTACTTCTCATGTTTTTCCCAAAAACTGAAAGCAACCTCAGAAGACCTGTTGCCCTCTTCGGTAGGATGAAAAAATATTACTTTTTAGAGTTCGGTCCAGTGAACAGTTTCTCTGAATTAACTAGAAATCGGGGTGTGTGTGGGGGGGGAGATAATGTCTAGTTGTGCATTCTCTAGATTTTATAGTTCCCTACTCATGGTATAATGCAGATTTTCTTTCTATGAAGAACTAATGTAGCTTTCTAAATATTTTACAAATATTGTAAACTATTGCAACTTACATGACATTCTTGCTTAATCTTCTCTGGCTTGGACAGGTTGCCTGGAGGTCCATCTTCATGCAGTTCAAATCCTGAATTATCCATTTTGTATTAGCAAAGTACAATTTTGCACGCATCCAAAAGCGGGAGAAAAGAAAAACAAAATAATCTTGGTCCTGTCGTCAGATGAAAAAGGCAACAGGTTTTTTATTTTATGCTAAGTGTGTGGTAAATGGAAATTTCGGTGTGAACATGAATGCAAATGAGGATATCCCCTTTTTTCAGCAGAACAATTTATAGCAGGAAGGATTTCAGAATGACTAATCTATTTCTAAATTTAGCTGTGAATTCTGTGGTCCCAGAAAACTGGTTCTAGGATGCCTTAGAGGGGATGGCTTTAGATGGGCTCATGGAAAAGTACCTATTAAAATTATACTGCTGAAGAAGTGGTCGTTCCAGCAACCTAGCGGGAACGATCCCCCTGTGTCCTTTGTTCTGTGCAGAATAAAGCTTTTACAAATCTCCACCTGGGTATGTGGTTTATTGAGAGTTGCACACTTGGAAGAACCAGTTTTCTGGGACAATTTTGGGGGCTCATCCAGGATCTACTACTAGGCCTTGCCCGGTTCTCTTAACTAGCATCTTCTGCTGCCCTGATGAATGCTCGGCTCCTCAGGTGGTGGGAATTGTGGCAAGAGATACAAAGGTGGAACATCAAGTAAGTGGAAATTTGTTTGTAGTTTTTGTGTTTCTTTTACGTCCCTGTGTCTTATAGGTTGAATGTGACTTGAGTTAGATTAACTTCAGGGAAGAGTCCCAAAGGTGGTAAGGGTTGGAGTTGTAATAGCTCGCAGGAGCCTAGCTGAAGGTTGGTAAGTATCTGTGTAGCCATCATTTGTTGGATGATGCAGTAGTTGTTCAGTGAGAGTAATTAGTGTAGAGCACACACCCTTGTTCACCTTGATGCAAACAAGGGGCCAAGACCTAGTATATCCCACCATATGACTGGTTTAATTGGCAGAGTAACAGAGTTGAAAGGGACCTTGGAGGTCTTATAGTCCAATCCACTGCTCAGGCAGGAACCATTATATCAGGGGTGTCAAACTCAGTTTCATTGAAGGCCACATCAGCATTGCGGTTGGCCTTGGGGGGCTGGGTGGGTGTGGCCAGGGTGGGGGCAGCCTACTGGGTGGGCGTGGATGGAGTGGGTGTGACCTACTGGGTGGGGGTGGCCAGCTCTACATCATTCACATCAAGGGTGCCTGTGGGGGCCTGGGCAGGAGTGGGACAGATCTGAGGGTCTCTTGCAGAAGGGGGTGGGACCAGGGCAAGTGCCAAGGAATGGTCCACTGGAGGAGCCTCACCGTTCGTCTCAGGCCATGCGGGGGGGGGCTGGATGGTAGTACTCACTGCCCAGAGCCCTGGGCAGCAGAGGTCAAATGCCCAGCCTGGCCCTCAAGCACCCACGGCACCAAGCCCAGCCCCACTTCTCCAAGGGGGTGCCCAGCTGCACTTACCTCCCCCACAAGGCTGCTGCTGCTATGCTTGCTCTCCTTAGCTAGGTTGCTCATGATGGGTACGAGGGCAAAGTCAGAGGGAGCTCCTCTCCATGGGAGGAGACCTAGCTTTGTATCCAAAGCTTCCTTAGCAATAGGATTGGAGTCCCCCAGGATAGGCCAGGAGAAGGGGGCAAGGGTAAAAGGGCAGCAGGGCAGGACTAAGGCAGGACTTCCCTGAGACCCTCCCTCTCCTTCTTTCCTTTCTTCCTTCCTAAGTACAGAGTGATGGGAAAATATTTGAGATGAGGGAAAAAACAGGCAAGAAACACAGATGGGGAGGTGTCACCCTTTGTGAGGAATGAAGAAATGCACCATCGCCTGGAAGTGGCCAGCACATGGCCCTCACTTACTTCACATATCTGGCTTGGTGGGCTCTAGGGGAGTGAATGCCATGAGCAGTGTGAGAGTCAACATTACCTGCGTAATGCTGCCCAGCCCCTAGCCTGCCTGGTTTTGGCAGGCAGCGGGGTGCTCTCCTCACAGCGCCGAGAGGCTGAGCCAGGCGGCACGAATCTGAAAAGAAGCGCGATGCTGCCCAGCCCTCAGCCTGCCCAGTCTCAGCAGGCAATGGGGCTCTCTCCTCACAGCACCAAGAGGATGAGCCAGACAGTGCAAAGCTTGTCAGCTTTGCACCTTGCTACCTGCTAAAACTGAGCAGGCTGGGGGCTAGGCAGCATTGTACTTCTCATCAGTTTCGGCTCAGCTCTTGGCGCTGTGAAGAGAGCGCCCCACTGAAACTGGGCAGGCTGGGGGCTGAGTGTCATTGTGCTTCTTTTGGGATTCACGCCACCCAGCTCAGCCTCTCGGCGTTGTGAGGAGAGCGCCCTGCTGCCTGCCGAAACCCCTCTCCCTGGAGCCCATAAAGCTGGATAGGTGAAGTAGACAAGGGCCGATTGCTGGCCACTTCCAGGCAATGGTGCATTTCTTCATTCCTCACAAAGGGTGACACCTCCCCAGAATGCACACAGGGGTTGGGGCCGACGCGGCAGAGCCTGGTTCTTTGCTGTTTCCAGACAGTCTTGTGGAGCTAAGACTGAATGTGTTTCAGTATAGATGGCCACCACAAAATTGTACATTGGCTCTCAGCCGGCCTGGGCCAGGGCCAAGGCAGCAGGGGCTGTTCCCTCACTTTTTCCAGGATGGCTTCGCGGGCCACATGAAACCACTTCACGGGCCGCATCCGGGCCCCGGGCCTTGTGTTTGATATGTCTGCACTGTATCATTTCAGACAAAAGGTTGTCCATCTGTTCTTCAAAACCTCCATTGTTGGAGCACCCACCACTTCTGGAGGCAAGCTTTTCCACTGGTTAATTGTTCTCGCTGTCAGAAAATTTTATCTTAATTCTGAGTTGGTTCTCTCTTCGATTAGTTTCCATCCATTGCTTCTTATCTGCCTGTTTGGCAAAGAAAGCACATTGCTGAAGGCAGGAAGGGAACTAGCCATAACATCTTCAGAGTGTGAAGACATTTCTCACCGTGGAGCATAGCTGTCTATGTGGGACAGCTGTGTTTCTGGTTGGGTATGGTATGACTGACTGTGACTGGGTGTGAATGATTTTGATTGTTTTGTGTGTGAAAGGCAAGAAATTGTGGTACAGACTGAGTCTTGGGCATGAATATTGAGACTGTGAATGTGGAGACTGTGGTCTATGAGTAATAATCTATGTAACTGAATAAAGTTATGATAGGAGTATCAATGATAGCCAAGCGGAAAATCCTTGATTAAAAACAAACAGCTGCTTCATTCTAGTTACCTATTTTTAAAAACCTACTTATTCCTTCTATCCTATCCTTTTTTCTATGCAAGCTAATACATCTTAAATTCTTATAATTCCTTAAATGAATCAATCTGAAGAGACTATTGGGGTCTGGGGTGTCTATGGGGAAACAGTATAGACTGGCAACAGTTGGACTATTTCTACCCTTATTTATTTTTATGTATTTATATTTAAAATTTAGAAACCTCCCATCTTCTCTGTTTCCCCAGGGAGCTTTTTGTTACAAAACATCAATCAACTTATTTTATCAAATTTATGTAACCGCCTATCTTACAACAAAAGACTTTGGCTGTCAGGTAGTCAATAAATACTAAACAATCAATATTATAATTCTTAATTTTACAAAAAAAAAACCCTAAAAAAGAAGGAATATTGCACAATGAGATGTTGCCAATATTGAATCCCTCTTAGTTACTCTCCAGTCGGCTGGGGTTCCCAGGCCTGATGGCACAATTAGGGTTTACGAAACCTTCAGAAAGTCAAAGTGATGAAACAAGCCTTACATTAGGGGAAGGACATTCCATAGATTGGATGACACAGCAGAGGAGGCCCACCTCCTATGGCACAACAATTGCAGTTGCCTTGCCCATGGGACCCATAGCAGGACCTCTGCTGGATTTGGTGGGATGTATTGGGAGAGGCAGCCCCTCAAATATATGTCCCCATGCCAGGTAGGGCTTTAAAGGTCAAAACTACAACTCGTAGTTATATACAATGTCCCATGACTGACGTTTTCTTCTTCTTGCTGGCTTTGTCCATTGACTTTCTTTGTTGGAAGGTGACAGTGAAAAATCACAAAGGGCAGCCATCTGATCACATGATGCTGTGATATCGTCATCGCAAGCAAATATCCAGATACATGGATCACAACCATGTGACCATGGGAACACTACAATAGCTAGAACTCTTTCAGCGCTGTTGTTAAGTTGAAATCGTTGAGGATTGGTTGTTAAATAAGGGCCACTCATGTCTGCCATTTGGAGATGATACAACTCTTAATTTTATTCTATGTGTAGTCTCTCTGGACATTTCCCTTGTTATCTTTTCTCAAAGCTAGACATGCCCAGTTCCTTCAGTCTTTCCATGAAAGACTTTTAGTTTCCTTGTAAGGTATGTGCCCCTTTTAGCTTTTCTAAATTTTAAAATAATTTTGCTATTGAATGTTATCAAAACAAATTCCCAACTCCCAGAACTCTTCATTGCATATCTCTGTGCTTGTTCAGTTTTCTGAAGACAGCCTAACCAATAAAGAATTTAGAGGAACTATTATTTCCCACAATTTGGAAATTATCCTTCTGTTGATACAGCTCTTTCCTTTTTCAGCAGTCATCCCACATTGCTGACTCATATTCAGTTTGCAAAAGACTGCTCTTAACAAGCCACATATTCTCCATTCTGTATTGTGGCATTTGATATTTTTCTCAATTAAAAAATTTGCATGTCTGAGTTAAATTTCATTCTGTTTTAAATCCAGTTCTCTAATCTCTTGAAACAATTTTTGCTTCTGTCTTTTAGATATCCTCTTGGTCTTACAGCAGATGCTAGTACAGCAGGTGAAGACCATAGCAAGGGCCCACCTTTGTCAGTGCCACCTGTTATGCTAATTGCCACCTTTTCTGGGTCAGCTAGCAGAGCAAAAGTACTCCATTTCATATGATCTACCAGACGACATCCTTGAAAAGATCTCAAATCTGGCTAGTAGGGCAGTTTGTTTGCTGATAGGTGGTAGCTAGTACAGAATTGACAGATTAATAGAATAGAATAGAATAGAATAGTAGAGTTGGAAGGGACCTTGGAGGTCTTCTAGTCCAATCCCCTGCTCAGGCAGGAAACCCTTACCATTTCAGACAAATGGTTGTCCAATCTCTTCTTAAAAACTTCCAGGGTTGCAGCATCCACAACTTCTGGAGGCAAGTGGTTCCACCGATTAATTGTTCTGTCAGGAAATTTCTCCTTAGTTCTAGGTTGCTTCTCTCCTTAATTAGTTTCTAATTATTCTTGTCCTGCCTTCAGGTGCTTTGGAGAATACCTTGACTCCCTCTTTTTTGTGGAACACTGCTATAGTGTCATTAGTCCTTCTTTACATTAAACTAGACATACCGAATTCCAGCAACTGTTCTTTATGTTTTAGCATCCAGTCCCGTTCATCTTTGTTGCTCTTCTCTGCACTCTTTCTAGAGTCTCAACATCTTTTTTACATTGTGGTAACCAAAACTAGATGGGGTATTCCAAATGTGGCCTCTGGATGCAGTATTCCAAGTGGCATCAGCTGCTGGTTGGCTGCTGGATCCAAGTGGTTATTATCGCCTGTAAAAACTCATTATACTCCCAGTCTTCGTTGTCTTCAGAACCATCTACTTCAAGTAGAATCTGCCCATCTAATATACACTGGCTGAGAGAGGTGGCTGTGGTTGCCACCCCATAAAG